TTACACTTGTTTGGTTGTGAAGTCCTTGGAGGTTTCCAAGGCAATTAGTAACCCATTTTGCAGAACTCCACCCTCTGTTTTGCAACATCGTCTGGAGCGCAATTGATTTCACAGACGTTCTTTCCAACCATCCTATTGGAGGTCGACCGCTGGAAAGGAGAAGGATCGTCTGGAAAATCCTATTTTCTTGTTTTTAGACAAAGCAAGTGGCACGTCTAATAACCAAACTCACGTGGTAAAGGCCGGTTGAGGATTTTTGGGGAAACAACAAGTAAAGAGAAACTATATCTGCAGATGATCCATCTCTATATTTTACAACATGACCCCAGGGGAATTTTTTTAAAATAGTTAAGAATCTGAAATTCTAAATTGAAGTTCTTTAGTTTAAACTTTAAGACAAGTGAAGATGACTTAGAAGAATGGGAAAGCTGACCCCTATTATATAATCCATCATCTAATGTATCAAGAAAAGATCCCCGACTTGATTCAAAAGGAGGATCATTATTCAAGCAACAAAATCGGGCTTCTTCACGATGCTTTATTAAAAAAAAATAGTAAATACATACAGAAATGATTATACAATCAGTGACTTTTGCTTTACTTATACGAGTCTATAATCCTAACTCTATTCTGTTATCAAGAAATATCCTTACTCTACCAGCAACAATAAGCTAGCTAGAGTGATGATGCTCACCTTTCACGGTTGTAGGTCTGTATAGATATGATCTCTGACTTGGGATAAGTAGCACAATTTGGAAACCTACATTCTCTCGTCTTAAACCAGATAGAGACCTCCAACTTACTCTGAAGGATATATTATCTCCAATCCCATTCCAAAAACAAGGGTACAAACAAGTCAGGAGCTTTCGTAAATTCCATCACATGCGGTTTGCCTGTCATAAGGTAAAAGTTGAATCCGTATCTTTATGTACTATGGTCAGCCGCCACTCTTCACAATGAGTCCTTCATCCTTATTGAAGAATGCTACTGCTACCCACACCACATAAATCTTCTTAGAGGTCACTTTTAAGTTCTAACTCCACTTAGCATCATAATTTGAAGTTCCCCTTCTTTTTTTGCTTTTGCTCTTTTTCAAAAGCATTGACATGTGGTCAATATCTCTCAAAGACGAATGGTTTTCACCTTTCATCCATAACAGAGCCTGAGCAGCCGCATCCTTTTCTGCAAGTTTCTTACTGGTGCAAGGCTGACCCACAAAGTCTAGCCCATTGAAGCACACAGTAGACCGAAACTGGTTGTTTTTCAGTTGTTTTGTCTTATAGATAGGTGCCCCATGTCCAGCCCTGGTAAGCAGTGTTTGTAGATGATTCTTAAAATTATCACCGTCCCCTTTACCTGATGGGGCCATTTTTTCTGTTTTCTTTGGAGATGCTGGCAATTGTCGACCAAAGACAAATCTGCCTTCACCCTGGTCCTCTGAAACCACCAATCTTACTGCAGACAGGAGCTCACTGTATGGTTGCATATCCAGCTTGGAGTTCAGAAGCTGCCATCAAATATCCAGGCCAAGAAAATTGTAAGTGCATCAATATTATGGCAAATAAGGATCAAATAAAACAGTGATACTGTTGGAGATTGAACAAAATAATTCTGAGTACTGTGAAAGAATTGATACTTACTTTCTTCTGAATTAGTTCCTCGAGTTCTCTCTTCAAGCTTAGATATGTATTCGCTAAAGAAGGGTTCATGAAAAACTCCAAATATCCTCCCAACATTTTTAGATGTCCATCCTATCAAAACCCAGAAATAGTTTTTTAGTACATTGTATAGCGAAAGGCAGGATCAAAAGAGGAAAAATATCTTCCATTCAAAGTAGATGATCTTGTAGAAATGTTCACAGTTAAATTGAGAATCTACCTACCAGTCCACCTCTAGAAATATTCCCTCCAAATAAGAGAAGCACAGAATCAGACACACCAGTTGAATCCCGGAGGAAAACTGCATTCACCTTCACCTTTTCATTGAAAACTAGCCACGGGTATGGAATTTTGGGTACTCCAGCATTCACGGAGTTCTATTTTAATGAGGGAAAAAGGGAAACAACGAGACGTCAGGATTTCAATGTAGTAATATCCTCCATTTAAACTTGTTACATGAAATATTGCCTGAAAGAAAAACCTAAGTAGTAGAAGAAACAAATATTACCGAGTAGAGAAGCACTAGGCCATCCTCCATTGTTTTGAGTGCAATTGACTTCTCCTTGTTCTGGAGATATAATCAAATCATCATACATTTAATAAAAATCACAAGATATCTAACACCTTTAAAAGAAGGGTAAACTTTAAGAAACCAGAAAACAAAATCATTTCCTTGATATACTCTCCTCGAGTCACTAGTTTCTGCCCACTTAAACATCAATGTAGACAAGAGATAGGTTTGCACAAGCAGTCAATCATACAAGTTACAAAAACATAAACCTGTGCACATGCTGCACACTCCAAACCAACATGCACAGGGCGCACATGCAGAAATAAACATAAACCACAGAAAGGTGGCAATTCAAATTTGCATGTTTTGCTTGTGTTAACACTACATTGTGTGTCAGATTGACATTATTAATTAATTGTGTCAGAAACCCAAACTCAGAAACTGATGTAGAACAGGAAGCAAAGGTGAGGATAGAACTTAGAAACAGAGGCAAGGGTGGGAAGAGAATAGCAGAATTAGGGATTTCTAGGAGATAATTTCAATTCATAAACACTTCAACTGAATAACCCTCATGCAACCTACACTTAAATATAAAAGCTAAAACCCAAATTAGACTTACTTCCTAATTAGACTCCCAATTGAATCTTTATTGAAAGATAATAATAGATCCTAATAAATGTGAGCTACTAGTAATATATCCATTTAATTCCTATATATTTATAATCATAATAAAATCCTTATAAATATATTATTTCCTTCCTTATCTGCATCAGAAACACTTCAATTACCACGGTAATGTGTAATACAATGCCACACAATTAATCTTTTAAAACACTATTTTCATTATTAACATACCAATTGGCATGAACCTATTGACATGGCTTGTTTTTAACAAGATTACAGCATGTATCACCTAAGCTAGTCAACACAACACTAGATTATCATATTAAACAGGCTATAGATGTGGTAGGACTAGGACAATCATGACAAGGTTAATCAATCAGGTGACAAGGGATTAGCATGTGAATGACACAAAGCACTAACCAAAACCCACTTATTTTTTATTATTTTCATACTGTATTCACGTCATGCCTAATATTGCCATCATACTGGATAAAAATTGAGAGAAAAGTTTAAGAAACTATTTATCTTAAAGCATAAAAAATTGAAAATAAAGTTGAGAGAAAAGTTATGCAACCCACCACAACAGAGCATATTCCAGGAAACAAGCCTGCACAGATGACTGATCGAACTAGATGCTCATCATGACTCCAGGTATTGCAATTTTCAATGTTTTGATCTATGAGACTACTATCCTTGAGTAAATAAAAGAATTGCTTGCGGAGAGAGTCAATTGCTTTAAGAGTTTGTGCAGAAAGAAAATTCTTCCAACAATACTCATAACCAGACTGCTGTCTTTCAGCTTCTTTCCAACCCTCATAAGCCCTGACTAGAGCAAGGTGGTCACTGTGCTCCCGACCAGAGAACTGTGCTTTTGCCGATTCTGCAAGCTGCAAAATTTATCAGAGAGAATTAAAGGCAACAGAATTCTATCTCTTTTCAAAATATATAATAATAATAATAATAATAATAATTTTAAAAATTTTTTAAAAAAATGAACAAAGCAAAATCCCATGGCCAGGTGGAGCTCAAAAAAGAATGTTTGTATTTTTCTTATTTCTGGGTTGATTGTCTTTGCTTTGCCCTTTGAGCACCTCTAGTATCTCTTAGTTTTTGATATAATATCAGCTTTGCAGATATGTATTTAAAAGAAAAGGTCAACTGCCAGGGACGATGTGGACTACATAACAAAATAAGAAACATGGTAATCTTTAAGGAGAAGAAACATGTTACAAGGAAATTTTGGTAATTAAACTGCTGGAAAATTATTAATATGAAGATACACCAACAAACAAATAAAATCTGCTACATCCAGGCAACAGACTTACATCCTTCTTGTCAAATGGCGTAAGGAATGGATCTCTGACACTAAGCCCAGCAACAATGGTCATCACTGGATCCAAACAGTTGAAGATAGCCCCTAGTATGAGCATTTTTCCAAGTTTAGGCTCAACTGGAAGCATTGACAAGTTGCGTCCTGAGAAACCATTAAGCATGATTTAGTTTCCCACTAATTAGAATATATCATGAAATCACAGCTGACAAACAAAAATAGTCATTCAATAGAAAACAATTCTTGCACCTAGTACTGTTAAGTTCTCATTCTCATCCAAAGCCCCAATAATCTTCAAATATTCAACTGCATTTTGTACCTACAAATGAAAGAAGATGCAAATAACAAATAAGCAGAATTGCAAATTTATAAATGATGTTAGAAGAACTCAAACACCAACGGAATTGATAATTACCGACAAAAGTTCTGGAGGCTGCAATGCCCTAGACAGGAACTTTGTGATACCTCCAAGTTCTAGACTTTTGATTTGCAAACATAAAGACTGCAATGGAGTTCTTAAAAGTTCTGGCAGCTGATAATCAGCAAATGTATCATATACACATCTTGGATAGAGATGATAACACTCGCCAGGTTGAACACGACCAGCTCTTCCTCTTCTCTACAATTTTTTTTTTTTTTTTATAAAAAAAATGATACAAACAACTGACAGTTAACATGACTTATCTATCTAATAAATGCACACCTTCTATTGGGGATATAGAAAGATATAAAAAATTTAAAAATTAAAAATAAAATTAGAAAAACCTCAAGGCTAGTAAGTTTAATTAAAGGTGGAAAGAATTTCAAAACAAAACATACTTAATGCTCTCCATCATGCCTCAAGTTATGGGCAGAAGCAAAATGTTGGGACCATAATAAACACTAGTTGCACAAAATGCAGGTACATTAATCAAATATATCTTAATCTGTATGGAAAGAAAGTGGCATTTATTGGCTATGGCATCTAACCCATAGATTTCTTCCTTTTGTTTCTTACAACAGCATCTTAAAAGATTTTAGATTCATGATTCAACCTCTACTCAATATGTGGTACACATACAGCCCATATAAAATACTTTTGACACATAGCACAAAGCATCAAACTGAACTCAGTACTAGTAAACTGTTTTGGTATGAGTGAAAACTAATTAAGCACAGAATCAGAGCCACAGAGTGGAAACAGATGATGAATATACAGTAATGATAGTATTAAAATTTCAACCCCCTGTGACAGATTAGCTTAATACAGGAGCAGCCTTGTCTTTACCAAGTAAAATCCAATGTTTTAGACATTCGAATGGGTTCATAAAGGATGTCTAATGCAGCACCTTAAAAAGCTTTCTGTAGCAAAAGCAGAAACTATTCAATTACTGTGCAAATTTCATTCATTCTGGCATCTTAAAGAACCTCTCCCATTTTACTGGAATCGCCTCAGGTTTTTGTCAAAAAGGGTTATGAAATCTTCAACAAAACCTACTAATCCAGACAATATGAGCCACCCTGAAGTAGCCCTTAAAGAACTTACCTAACTGTTACTTGCTATATAATTTCACTTTTAGAAATCTAAGGTATTATTTTAGGGATATTTATAGATTTTTATGTTCATATGCAGCACAGTGCTGGTGTTTTTTCTTTTTCTTCTGGGAAACGTTAAGATTTTCATTTAACTAAAACCCCAACAAAGGGTATGTACGCTATTCATCTTGGCCATACAAGGCCTTCCTCATATAGCACACTGCTGTTGTTACTTAACATAATTTAGCTAAGAGCTAGGCTATTTATGAATCTTTAATGTTTAGGTTTTATTTTCCTGTAGCCCTGGTTAGATATTTATTATTCATTAATTTTCTACTATTTTTTAATGTCGTTTTCTACCATGTTTGGAATCATAATCCTAGCGGGTTGAGGATGGTCTAAGAGTCCTGGTAAACATGGATAATTTCATAAGTTACGAGGCCTTTTTTTCCTTCTGATCCGCAGGAGCTCCAAGGCTTTTTAATTAATCAGATTATGAGTATTGTGGTTTATCAAGGCATGGATACCTCTATTGTGCCCACCTCCACTCTCATCATCTTGTCTTTCCCTCTAAATTCTCCTCTTCTCACTATTTGCTGCTATAAAGCTTGTAATATTGTTCATAGCAACATTACTCATACGCTGCAAGGAGCATAAACAATTAATGTCTTTATCTTTTCTTCTGTTGTTCACATCCTAAACCTTAGAAATTCTTTTAAGTTTTACCCTAACCATCTTAAGCTATAGCACACCCCTAGAGATTGCAAACAAATCTCTCAGATGTGTCTTAAATCACACACAGTGTATCATTAGCAAACAAAACCCAAAACAAGTGGGCACAGACATGCTTGGTGAAACAAATTTTCTAACAACAAATATAAGCAACATAGATTAAGATATAAATCCAATATATTAGGTATAGCAACTGAATGGTTATTGGAAATCTTACCTGCCGGGCAGAAGCCTTAGAGATCCAGGATGGAAGCAGACAAGGAGTGTTATTCAGTGCATCATATGATGTTTCTTTTGCCTTCCCACAATCAACTACAAAAACCACATCATTGATGGTAATGCTAGTCTCAGCCATATTAGTAGCTAGAACTATTTTCCTCACTCCATCCTCAGGCTTTTCAAATATCAATCTCTGTATGCCAAAGAACAGGGGAAAAAATGGAAATCAGGAAATGGGTAGAAAGGGGTTATAAGAACCTAAATCAATAGCATTATTTCTATTAACCAAATGTAAAAGAGCAAGAAAAGTTATAAATGACTGGAAACACATATGGCTTTTATGTATTCATATGGGACTACCAATAGAGATCATAATGAAAGTTCAGTCATTGTTATTACTCTTTCAATGGCAACAAGCAAGGGATAGCCCATTGCTATTCCAATCTATGAACAAGCATACACATTCCACATGCATTTTCCATGAAAACATTATATAGTCACAAAAGAAATAAGAAATGCATCCTATTACATATCATAGGTAAATTTTTATAACTGATGGAAGATTTTATGCATGTTTATTAATTAAAAATATTATTCACCACATAAACACATGTACATATATCATAGAGACTTTTAAATGGAGTTAACTAGTGCAACAACTTTGCATATTACAGGGAATCCTTTCAGCTCTAGTTACAGATAGAGGATAAACAAACTAGATTTCAAACTATTCCCTTATTAATTATCTTCTGATTAATTTACCTTCTAATAATAAATAAATTACAAACCTTTAACAGACCAGCTTTTCAAGAGAAAAAGGCTACCAGTGCTTAAAAAAACAAAGAAAAGAATAGTTCCAATATGCTAGAAATAATTGAATTTTTTTTTAATTTTTTTACCCCCAAAGGACCATAGTTACACAGATTAACCATACTAGTAAATCTATTCCTAAAATATTAAATACACAATGAGAAGTAAACATTGCCCCATTTGCAAAACCATACCCAACGGCAAAGCTAAACAGTGAAATTTACCTGCTCAGAGCTAGGCATAGAACCATGGCATGCAAGCAACAAAACCTTGCTAGGATCCCCTAGGAGAGGATGAGCTAGGAGCTGATCCTTTAGAGAGTTTATATCATCCCAACCAGTCATAAAAACCAAAATACCACCAGGTCTCTCTTTACTCACTATATGACAGAGCACATGCTGAATGAAGTTAAAACCTATTGAGTCAGGATTCCAACAGGCCAAAGACTCCCGAGTCCGCAGACCATACCCCCTATAATCAGCAGCTTCAACGGCATCCTGTTTTTTTCAGAAAAGATCATTTTTTCAAATAGAGATCCTTGACTTCATAACAGTTATTCACAACTAAAAGCTTGCCTCCACATCCAAAATTAAATTAGCTACCAAAATTACCTCAACAACAGAAACTATCTGGGACTTCCTCTTTTTGAAAGTTTGAGCTTGTTTTTGCATTTTCCATATCTTTTCTTGACCATAATCATCAATTTGATTAAATGGGGTCAACCGGTACCCGGTCATCTCCAGAATATTCTCCAGAAAATAAGCTCGAACTGGGTATGTAAAACCCTATAGAACCACCACCCCCCACCCCCCACAAAAAAAAAAAAAGCCAATTAAATATGAGATGAAGAGAAGAGATTAAACAATCATAAAAAGCTAATTAAATATAAATAATAACAAAATAATGCAAAGAAACGTGTCCAAGACCAGAGCTTCTATCCATAAAGAGACTAACACATTGTTTGGATTGAAGTGGAGGGAAAGTAAAGGAAAAGAAAAGAAAGGAAAGGATGGGGTAAGAGCTGGTCTCTGTTGTCCTTTCTTTTCCTCCACTTCAATCCAAACAAAGTGTAAAGCATTCTTCCTGTAAAAGCTTTATATCAAGAGACCATACCAGTTCTTGAAACATCTCTAACTAAAAATAACTCAATCCATAACAGACAAAATGTAAGCAACCTAGCCGTTACTTGATTTGATGTTCATGATACAACAGTAATAATTTAATATGGTTACACCTAGCTTACTTTAGAAGTCTTCATGATTTATTTTACAACGTATTATTTTCTCAGAGCCCCTAACTGATTAAACTTAATTATATATTGCGAATCAGTTTCCTATTATGGTTGAAATATAGTCCTAATGGGTTAAGGGATAGTCTAAAAATCACTAAAAATACCACTGTAGTTGTCATAATGAGATTGGGAAGTTCTTGTGCCTGTTTCTTGTCTCTTATCTTCTTCTTCTTTACTCATCCTTTTCCACCACAGTGCTCCGTTTTCTGTTCAAGGCAACATAATTCTTGCTCCAAACTGCCTAAACAACCCTAAAATTGAGTTCTTTTTCTGTTATTCAACTTTTTTTCACACATACCCTCAAACACCAAAAACTCTAATCTCCCTGACCCTAACATGTCCTTGTTCAACACGTGAGCACTTATCTATCATAACTTGGGAGGCAACCATCCACGACATCCTAGTTTAGATTGAACCACCTCTAATGCCAAAAACACTGATAAAGGTTACCAAAGCAATTGCTAACGGAGAATAAAAAAAATTATGAATTTAAGATAGCTCAAATCATCTTAAAATCTAGACTATCAAGGAAATTGCTGATGGACAAAGAATTCACAACAATTTTCATAAGAATTCACAACAATTTTCATCAGAAAATCAATCACTGAGGAAATATCATGGGACCACCAGCTAAAACTTAGCCAGGACATTGTAATTAGCATCCAAAACTTACTGGGATATGGATTGTTGGGGCACCACCAAAGTAAGAAGAAAAGAGCTCCGCATTTAACGTTGCACTCATCAAAATTAACCTCAAATCAGGTCGGCGAGGAAGAAGGTCTTTCAGGACAATAAGAAGAAAATCTGGTATATATGAAAATTATTGTAAATATCAATTTAAGTACCAGTTCAAATAAGTACCAGTTTAAAGGTCAAACTACTATCAACTTTACCTTCATTCATTCCACGTTCATGGATTTCATCAACAATAACATGAGTTACACCTTTCAAATCTCTGTCAACAAGTAACCTCCTAAGTAAAATTCCAGTGGTACAGAAAAGAAGACGGGTATCCCTCCCCTTCATTCCCTCTAGCCGTACTTTATAACCAACCTTTCAAGAAAGAAAAGGACAAATTAGCTTCTGGAAAATCAAATTGATCAAAAGTACGAGTGTTTAAAGCAAGATTATCAGATGCAGTAACCGACAGATTCTCCCAGGTTCTCTCCTCTTTCAGCTGCAACTCTTTCAGAAACAGCCATGGCAGATATTCTTCTAGGCTGAGTACAAATTATGCTGCAGGAAGCTCCACGAGCAGCTTCAATCTCAGACTCTAATATGTACTGAGGAAGTTGTGTGGTTTTACCACAACCAGTTTCACCAGAAACAACAAGAACCTGGAAAACCATTTCAAATAGAACCAATAATGTTTTATAACATTGCAGAGGCAACACACATATCAATGGCATAGGGAGCAATACACATATCAATGGCTTTTGGGGCAATAGAATTAGTTTAGCTTAAAATGGACCACTAAGATAATATGAGCACTACACAACCATTTCCTCCTCCTCCCTCCTCTTTATCATTAGATATATATTCTAAAGATTGTCAAGAGCTTTTTTTCAGATCTACATTTTTGGAAGCAAAAATAAAATCTAATAGATCAATTCTTTCAAGGTTTTTTACCCAAATACATTGCGGCTAACATGGTTTAGGAATTAAATAGATAAGCAAAATTATATTGGATTTTATAGAAAAGGTTGAAACATGCTACAATAACTAAACTTTCAATGGGTCAGTGCTCGTGACTTCATGAGGACTTCTGGGAACCAAACTCATACATTTTCATTGTGACAGTTAAAAGCAACAGTACAGAACAAAAATAAAATAGGGTAACATCATTATTCACCTGATTTTGAGAAATTGTGTTTAGTAACGCATCCCTTTCTTTATATGCAGGAAGACTTTTACGAAATTCAAGCATCTTTAGGCCTTCAGGAGATTCCTATAGAATGCAGACTTTGTCAAGATAGTTGCAGATAACTAAATTAGCAAATGGTAAATCAAATGTATAAAATCCTGCATACTAAGAAAAGCCATAAACAACACACAGAAGATAGAAGAAATTAAGAGAGGTAAAGCCCTGAATTGATTATTCCTTAGGAATAAACCATAAAAACTCTGAACATGCATGCACTAAAGACTCCTTATTGTAACATAAATCATCATAAGATAATACTAAGAAAATCTGCTAGAGCAAACAGAGTGACCCTTTAAGTATTCATTACAAGCACACCTAACATACATCATATGTTTATAATCAAGTTTAAAAGGAAAATTCTAATAACTTTCTAAATAAGCTTTTAAAAGTATCCCTGGAAACTGAACATAATAACTATCAATAACTGAAGAACTAAGCAAAAGCACAATCATAAAAGCATAGAATGACCAAGATTGTGCCTTGGCAGTTGGCACGCACTGCAAACACAAACACAATAAAACATGCTAATGCAGAAAACAGATTTAATATAAATATAAATTTTAGTGAAAAGGCAATAAGATTCCAGTCAGATTGCATTACTAGTTTGAGAGAAGCCAAAAGAAAGAAAAAGAAAAGAAACCTGCCACTCTTGTTGCTTATTACGTATTTGCAAACTTCTCCGATGCAGGACTCTATCCATGACAGCACTGTTCTGCATAAAGGGATCCCGCTGCATGTCTGATCCTCCATCAGAGGCCAATTTTCCACCACTGCTTGTTCTCAAGGGGGATTTATCAGAAAAGTTATCACTTTTCCTAGCCTTTTGAGAAAGGAAAGATCTAAGATGCAGATCAACTTCTCTTTGCAGGCCAAACGGTAAGATCACCTTAAAGTAAGACAAAGGTATTAAAGAAGTAAATGAAAGGTGAAGAGTGAAGTGACACTTATTTAATACCCTAAAGAAATATTGATGGATTTCAGTTAGTGTTGAATCATAAACACCCTGTCACACACAGAACAGGGCAATTGTCACCAAAGGACTAAGATAGAAGCAAGTCCTGCAGTTCACACATAAAATAAAGAAAGAAGGGATATAAAATAAGTAAAATTATAGAAAGCACCTCTCTTTGCGGACGCTTATCATCAAGATCAGATCTATAATTTGGCAGTGGCACTTTACTGAAAGCAACTACTTTTGCATATTGACGGCTGCCACAAGATATTGTGTTTCAGAACAACATCAGACAATTAAAAAAAAAAAAGAAAATAAGAGGTTCAAAATGATACAGGAAAACCACACACATCAAAATAACTTAATTACCAATGTAAACCCATTCTGGTTGCTAAAGCTGAAATTTGCTCAAAGTCACGCCTGTCCTTTCTTTCCCTTGACACAACTTCTTGTTGATCTTCATTGCGTAGAAACATGGTCAATTTCCATCGCCACTCATCAATATTATCAAGTGTTGAAGCACACTGAACATCATGAGCCAATAGTGAACAAACAAAGCATCATCAATAATTCTAAGAAGACACTTACAGAACAAAGTCATAATGCAGTCACATCAACCTCAGATTTCTCATTATCATCTGAGTGCTTAATAATAAAAAATTTAAAAGAGGAAAATCTAGCTTTAAACACACTATCAATTACTAAACTGTTTGAACTTAGTCAACAGAACTTTCAAATGAACCTGAAATCTTCAAATCTCCAAAATCAAAAGAAACTAAACCACTGGATCCGGGAAAAGTATTCATGTCACAAACTTATAAGTTAATACAACATATCTTGATAATTAAAATATACTTATTCAACATAGTCATATACAACTTTAATCAAATGCCTCCACTTCACCATGACCCTCCTTAATATCACCTTCCTTAGTGATAACTGATCCTAGATATGGTCAAAAAGTAAATCTTGAAGTCATCATGGCCATGGATCTCAATTATCCTCACTCAGTCTCAATTTTAAAAAAGACAGTGTGCTCTGTGTACTGCGTCTTAGAGGGCAGCTATTAGCTACTAGATATCAGCTATCAGTCAAGTTTCAATAGCTAAACCAAATAGGTCCTTAGTCCTGCAAGGCATAGGCCCTTTGTTATACCAATATCTTCTCCCAACTTCAACAGTTCAATCCCTATCTCTCAACTTTTCAGTTTTCCAATCATATATCATCTACAAATAACATGAACCTAACAATGACATGAATAAGCCCATCCACATCTACTGCAAAAGGTTAGGCTCCCAGCATAGATACTTATGAAAACTATGGGCATTGAGATTGAGGTACATCTAGCCCTCTCAAGTCAAACAACATAGAAATTGTGCAACACATTAAAATTACAATCACAAATTAAGCCATCTTAGCAATGCGTAACTTAAACTGTAGGAAGAAACAAAATATCAATCTACAGAGGTCTACATCTTAACCCAATTATGAAACTTCTTCACCAATTAACACCCTAAAGCAGCATAATACCACTCCCACAGTATTGTAGGTGTCACTGTTTACCTTAAATTTCCCAAGAGAAAGAAGTAATGGGTTTCACTACCTAACAGAACTCTACCTAACTACCTATCTTATTAAATCAAGTTCATCCTAGCATTATTGTCCCAGGAAGAATTTCTCTGTTTTCTAATGACCAAAAAAATAAATAAATAAAAGAAAACTTTAGATTCATTTTCACTTGACTTACCTGACAGCAATCAAGAAAATAATTAAGAAACCAACCAACATCAGCAGCAAAGCTATTCAGAAAAGGCTATTACAAAATAAAACCCAAAATCATGATTCAAAATTTTGAATTAACAAAAAGTGTACGCTTACATGAAGCTCATAAGACGCTTCTAGAAGTGCATTTCTCATTAGCAGCGAAGTTAAACAAATTCTCACTCCAAAGAGCAATTGAAAACCATAACTTAAGAAAGTTATCAAAATCAATAGCATATGAGGACTCTATTCAGAAAACAAACCATTTTCTAGCAAAACAATTGGCATGTAAACTACTCACATTCACAGAACAATTCAACAAACTTTAAAATCACCAACCAAACATCACTAAAACCAATCAGTTACAAATAACTTTATTCAAATTATCAAAACCAAAAAGACGAACACGCTATCTCAAACAAATCAACAAAAGGGTATCCTCAGAAACCAACCATTTGCGACTGCGGAGACCCCAATTCACGATCAGAATCATCGCTGGACATATCATCATACGCGAACCGCCCATAGCTGGAGCTCTGCTGCAGCAAATGAGGCAAGGAACCAGTCCTCCAATCGAACCCAAGAGTCCTAGAAGCAGCTCGGGAGCAAGTGAGACCATCAACACCGCACCTGACTAGAAGAGGCTTGAAATGCAGACTCCTAAGAAAAGCCGGCGCCTGGGTCCTCGAAATGAAAGGAATAAGGGAGGGTCTTATTATGGTTTTAGAGGATTTGTGGAACGGTAGGGAAGTGGGTCTTAGCGACATGGCGGTTGTTCGGAAAAAGCCCTGAAAAATGGCGGAGTAACAGGGCATTTTTTCCCGGGGGTTTTTTGTGTTGCAGTGCTTGTTTTCAAGAACTGAGATGCATCTGATGACGATTTTAGGGTTTTGGTTGGAGAGGTTTAAGAGAAGTGATTATGAAACTGTCAAAAAAGGAGGGTATGGACTATGGAGAAGGTGTGGCCTTTGCGGCAGCTGGCATGGAGGGAGTTGAACACTCCTGCTTCTAAGGAGCGGAAGCAGCCAGGTTGTGGTTTGTAACTCGAGGGCCAAAATTTTGTACTTCGGTTTCATTTGGCAGAACTTAGTTATTAAGCCCCTAGATTTTTCCTATTTTCTCACAGAAGCCCTGAAAGAAAAACAAATATCAAGTAAACCCCTTGATGTCCCAATCTTAGCAAATTAGCTCCTATGTTAATAACAACAATCACATGCTGTGATATGAGCTAAACCGTAGTCTGTTTCTTGGGTTTTTCTTCCGTGACATTCTTTTTACAACTAAACACTGGTAAAAAAAATATCATATGACAAGTTGTGGTTGTTGCTATTAATATAAGAGTTATTTTATTAAAATTAAAACATTTAAAAATTTATATGCCATTTTTTTTAGAGTTTATGTGAGCAAATAGGAAAAATCTAAGGGCGTAACACATTAAGAGTGCAGTTGCTGTATTGAAAGGGATATTGTAAAAGAGTGCAATTTAAAATTTGAAATTACTAATATATCATTAATAAATTAATATAAAATGAAAATTTATTAAGAATGTTTGGTTAACTTTGGAAAAGTGATTTACAATTTAAAATAATCTAAATTGTAAAATAGAATATATTAACTTTTGGACTCAAATTATACTTTTTCTGTTTCATATTGAAAAAAAAAAATTCTGTTATTTATTTATTAGACATTCTAATTGTTATTATTTTTAAAAGCCATTTTTGGTGAATTTCCTTTTAAAATGAAATCATTTTGGTGAAATTTTTCTATGTCTTTTTTTTTTTCTATCAGAAGAGTCCCCTATTTTCTGTGAAAAAAGAATAATTAGATTGCTACCCGAGGCCCAGGGGGGAAAGGAGAAAGGATCCCTTATGTTTGTATGCTGTCCAGGACCTTCCCCATACATGTTTAATGAAATTGCATTGCAAAGAAGAGGTGCTGGCATGTCAAGGATTCTACTTAATCCTGACTTTGTTGTAGGTTTGGTTTCATTAGTCAAATTATATAAAAAAAAGTTAGATTGAATGAAGATTGTAAGGAATGCATGTTTTCTCATTAGAGTATTTTTCTTCTAGACGAAGAAGGGAGCCATCAATTTCCTCTTATAACACATTAAGAGTTAGATTCAATGATTAAAGTCCTTAATTACCATTACTCTTTTGTTATCATATTTAATTAAAGAGTTTTTTTTAATATATACTTTAAGAATATATTATTTGTATCTTTTTCTTATGAATTGTTGTCAAAAAATAAAAATTAACTTCAATTTTATCAACTATTTAATTAAAATCATGTAGGTGTACTTGGTCTTGAAAATGAAGTTTAGTTTTTATATTTTTCTATATAAATTAATGAACAAAATAAATTAATATACTTTGAACTTTTGTCCAAATAGCTCAATAAGACAAATTTGTACATAAATTAGTTTTTTTTTTTTTGAACATTCATGAGAATTGTACATAAATTAGTTTATTTATATGGTTTGATAAAAGAATTATAGTAAGTGAATTATAATGATTAAAAACTTGAGTTTTCTATTGTAACTCTTTTTTAAATTTAAATTTTAAAAAGTTAAAATCTAATTTTGATCCCTGAACTATTGTATGAACTTTTGATTTGATCCCAAAACTAAAAAAATCTATGATTTGATCCTTACTGTTTACTATTTTGACCTAATTTGGTCCTTTCGTTAAAAATCTCATTACTTGTGCTATTAATTCACTATTATGAGATGACGTGGCAAAATATTAATACACGTGGCAAAAAAATAATAATATAAAAATAATAAAACTTAAAAAGTTATTTTTTTTTCTCGTTTTCCTTCTCTTTCCCTTTCTCTTTACCCTCCTCCCTTAGAACCCATCGAACCCAACGGCTACCGCTAGGTTCATTGGAATCCAGGCGCTAGGTTCATTCAAACCCAGTGCTAGGTTCAAAAAAAATTTTTGTTTTTTTTTTTTTTTTGTGGGTTTTGTTGTTTGATGATGAAAAAAAAAATTGATTGATGAAGAATAGAATTCCATTTTATTGAATTAATTGTTTGACTCAGAAAAATTGTGATAAAAGTTATCTCAGAGGAGGCAAAGAGAGGGAAAAAGAAGGATGAATGAAGAAGATTCGAGAAAAAGGATGCTAAAGGAAGAAGATAAGGGTAAAATTGTAATTTTGATGGGCTAATGGCATGAATATAACGTGTTATGTTGCCATGTCATCATTTTGATATGATGTGTCTAAAATTTTTGCTATGTCATTAACTCACTGTGAGTTAACGGTGGATATTTAACAGAAAGACCAAATCAAGGTCAAAATCGTAAACAGTAAGGATCAAATCAAGAATTTTTTTAGTTTAAGAACTAAATTAAAGGTCTGTATAATAGTTCAAGGACCAAAATAAAGTTTTAACCATTTTAAAATGAGTAAAAGGGACAAGAGATCATTCTTCTATTTAATTACCAAAAA